GCAACAAAAGTTAAAGTCACAAGCACCTACTACGTACTAAGTGGTGCAGTTAGCAGTCTACTCTTGGGAAGTTATCGAGAACTACCTAATCTTGTATCCCTCCTAATGCTTATTAACCAGGCAGGAGCCTTGGGCTCATCTATCTCCAAGCTCAGGGTTCTCTCCCAGGACAGCATGCAAAACCTGCTAAAATAGTCTAAATTATCTAAGTGTAAACTCTTAAAAGAAATATTATTTACAGTTCCCCAATAATCAATGCTTAAATTGTGAATCCTAAGGTCCCGGATTAGAACGGGATATCTAATCCGGCATGCTACCCAAGAATGTAGAGGTGTCGCGCATGAAAGTGGATAGCGGGGGGCTGGGGGACAGCGGGGCGTTGGATAGCCGAGGGATGTCACGAGCCAGGGCGGGGGTTGATTGTCTCGGACGAAAGTGAAGAGAGTTGGGGAGTCGAGGAACAAAGTGAAAGTGAACAGCTGACAGGGTAGGAGGGCAAGTGAGGAGGTGGATGTGGATCAGTAAAATGAGGTGCTGCTGGATCTGGCGTGTTCCAGCACAAATTAAGCCCTGTCCATAATGTGTCACTACAGGTGAAAGTGGGAATGCAGATTTCATTGACTGTAATCCCTACCAGTAACAATTTCTGACATCTTTTTAAACGAGATGCTAATGGTCTAATCTATTTCAATGATCTATGCTAAGCTAAGCTAAAAGTGCTCCAGCCAAACTTGGTTTGGCTGAATGGATTCAAACATGGTAAAACTACAAAGTAGAGAAAAAACAAAACATCCTTCAATGTTAGGCTCTTTTTTGAACACTGAAATGGTCTTTTCAGGTCTTTTACAATAAATGATCATCATTTGTTTCTGAGGTTACATATTATTTTCCCCTGTCTCTCTTTTGTTTGCCTTATATAATTACTTCATGCTCAAAAAGATTGTTTTCTTTGACATTTAGTGTGATTCTAAGTCTTTGGTTATCAGCTTCAGAACATTCAGAACAAAATTATCCACATTAGAACTTTCAATACAAGCGCATGCCTAAAAACAAAAAAATAGGACAATCTGGAGTTTTCAACATTTAACAATTATCGCATACATGTAGAAGTGAATCTGGACTAATAATATCCATAGCATTAGTACAAAATTAAGAAACTGTATTTTCTTGTCAATTAAGGCACTTCATTTTAGATGAAAGAATCTGCTAAATGATTCAGTGTCGATTTAGATAGAAACAGAGCTGCACAATATATGATAAATATATTCAGTTATAAGTTGATTTGTTTTTCATTCATTTGTCAGTGTTGCTTTTTCATTTGTTTCCTTTTAAATTACATTTTTAGTTTATAGCTAACAATTACCTCAATTGCTTGTTAGCTTTTTCTGTATTTGGCTTAACTCTTTTGAGTTCTCAATGGCTATAACCACAACAACAGCAGAAACATCTGATAAGAGGGTCTGGCTGAGCCTCGTAACAGAAATGTTTTGTTTGTTGCTGGTATTTGGGTTAAGTTACTTGAAGACCGACAAGTAAACATCACTGCTGAGGAACTTCACTCTTCAGTGTCTTCAATAAAGTCTTCTCTATGTAAGAACTTTGGTCAGCTTATTTATTTTATGTATTAGAGTCATCTAATACATTGGGAGTCACCCAAGAACAGTTAAGCCAAATACAAAACCATCTAACAATAGATACAGTATATAAAAAGATCAAACCTATTAAATACTCAGTTTCTTAAATAGTGAGCTACATCTTTTCAAGCATAAAAATTGTTAAGTTACTTGGTTTACTTTTACTTTTTTGCCTCAGCAAATAGAAAAATGTATTTTATAACAGACATTGCAAGTGTTTTGGATGTTTAAACATACTAGCATTTATTTTCACGCACTAGTACTTCAACCTTTTAGATGCTAGTATATCTTATTAGGTAGTAGTAATTTAATCTGCTTGTTAAGCGTGACGCCACATGAAGTGTCTTCCGGGTACAATTGCTATACCAAACTGTATGGGAAGACTCAACAAATGATAATAATACACATTTAAAAAGTGATGTAATACTTTCAAACATCCTGATTGCAATATAGTTGAAGTCAGAATTATTCATCCCCCTGTTTAAATTTTTCCCCAATTTCTGTTTAACAGTGAGCAGATTATCTCAACACATTTCTAATCATGATAGTTTTAATAACTCATCTCTAATAACTGATTTATTTTATCTTTGCCATGATGACAGTAACTAATATTTGACTAGATATTTTTCAAGACACTTCTATACAGCTTAAAGTGACATTTAAAGGCTCAACTGGGTTAATTAGGTTAACTAAGCAGGTTAGAGAAATTAGGCAAGTTATAGTATAACGATGGTTTGTTCTGTAGACAATCAGAAAAAAAAATGCTTAGAGGCTAATAATTTTGTCCCTAAAATGGTGTTTAAAAATTTGAAAACTGCCTTTATTCTAGCCAAAATAAAACAAATAATATACTTTTTCCAGAAGAAAAAATATTATCAGACATGCTGTGAAAATTTTCCTTTCTCTGTTTAACATCATTTGGGAAATATTTAAAAAAGAAAAACAATCAAAGGGGGGCTAATAATTCTGTCTTTAACTGTATTAACTGAGAATTTATTCTGTATGTCTATGCCTAATATCAAATGGCTAGAAAGTGAGTATTTTTTTTTTCATAAATTGTTAAAATATTGAGGTCTGTAATGCATTAAGTCCAGAGACTGTTGTGTACACCATGACTTTATATAAACTTAACTTTAATGTGTGATATGACAAAAACTTTACTTAATTCAAATGAGTAGCAAGCGGATAGCTACGAGTGTATTTATTCAGATACGTGTACCATTTTAAAAGATATTAGTATTTATTCATTAGATGCTATTTCTTATTTGTATGGACTGGTATGTATTAAATGCTGGTGCCCGTAAAAAATGATGCAGTTAAAAACTAGTATCTTACTTTGAAAAAAAAAAAAACATAACTAACTTTTCTAATAAGTCTATGATTATACGCTTATTTATTTAATAGGTCTGGTTGTTTAATAAGTTCTAATATTTAATAAATAAGAACTGGTATCAAATGAATAAATGCTAGACAGTAATAAATCAAATCTAGTATCAGTTATATAAGTATTGGTTATCTCGTGATTAAATATTGGATATCTACAACTGGAATACATACTAGTTAGTTACAATACATATATCCCAATAGCAGATTACCATGGAAGTCAATGGCCAAAATGTTTTATATACTTAGTAGTCATCTTTGAAATAAGTACTAGAATCCAACACCTGAATGTTATCACTCGATAGATTGGGTGTTATCAGTGATTATCAGCTGAAAGAGAGGACTTTTGCGGCTACTAGTAGGCGCAGAAGGCTGTAATCATCCATCTACATGGTTAATCAGCTGTACTAACAGAGAAGACTCCAGATCCAGATCTGTTTTTACATTACTGTGATGTTTTAGGTTTTAGAGTTGGGGTAGGGGTAGATGTTAATAAAATACAATTAATGGAAAATTTTATAAATTATATAAATAATTATCGTGGTTAATCAGCTATACTAATAGAGAAGACTCCAGATCCAGATCTGTTTTCACATTACTGTGACGGTTGGGTTTAGAGTTGGGCTAGGGGTAGACGTTTATAAAATACCATTAATACAAATTCATTCATTTATTAATTTTCTTTTCGGCTTAGTCTCTTTATTAATCTGGGGTCGCCACAGTGGAATAAACCGCCAACTTATCCAGCACATGTTTTACGCAGCGGATGCCCTTCAAGCTGCAACCCATCTCTGGGAAACATCCATAAACACTCATTCACACTTATACACTATGGAAAATTTACAGTAGCCTACCCAATTCACCTGTACCGCATGTCTTTGGACTGTGGGAGAAACCGAAGCACCCGGAGGAAACCCACGCGAACAAAGGGAGAACATGCAAACTCCACACAGACACGCCAACTGACCCACCCGAGGCTCAAACCAGCGACCTTCTTGCTGTGAGGCAACAGCACTACCTACTGCGCCACTGCGTCGCCAATTAATACAAACAAATATAAACTTTTATAAATAATATAACTAATTCTTGTTAACTTCCGGCCACAGCCGTATGTGATCTACAGCTGAATAACCATGTGGATGGATGATTACAACCTTCTGAACCTACTAGTAGGCAAAGAAGGCCCCTACTGGCCCATATCTATCAGCTGATAACCACTGATAGCACCCATTCAATCGAGTGATAATATAATCAGCTGAATCTAACTAATATGTGCAAGTATCCATTAAATAAGTAATAAGAACTAATAAATAAGAACTAGTATCTATATTGAATATGTGCTAGCATCTATTTAATAGGTACTTCTATCTAGTAAATAAGAACTACTGAATATGTGGCGGTATCTATTCACTGTAAAAAAAAATTTATATATATCATGATGTTAAAATGATGTTGCATTTTAGTTAGTTAATGCCACAGCTTAAAACCAATCAAATATCCATGCCAGATGACGTTGGTAGTAGTTATCAACTGACATTAGTATTTGACAGCAATTTTACGCTAGAATTTGGTCACCTGACGTCGCAACCAAAATAGAACCAAAGATCAACGGTATATGACGTGTGCCTGTTGGAAGGAAGCACTAGCATCTAAAAGATCAACGCAATTTCGCGGCAATTCATAACTTTTTGATTTAGTGGCTAGTTCGTATCAATTCTTACAATCTAATTTTTATCATTTAGTACGCTTTGCTCATCACCCAGTGACGGTTGGATTTAGAGGTGAAATTGGGTGCCACAGCTCCTTTTTAAAATTGAACATTTTTCGTACGACTGAATTTGTATGAATTAGCCACTGAACTGACAAAACGTAAAATACGTTTTCTCTTGAGATCAAGCTAATAAGGTGCATGAAAATAGATACCAATTCATTTTAAACATTTAAAACGGTTTGTTGCAACCCTATACATTTTCATTTAGATTTTAGTGACTATGATATTAAAAAAAAAAAAAAAATGGAACAGATTTCTAATTTCAAATATAATTGGTTCATCATAAAAAATAAGTGCTGGCTTATCGCACTGTAAAAAGTGATGAGTTGACTTTACTTAAAAAAAATAGTAAACTCGTTACTTTATAATTATTATGTAAACAAACTATGTGCATAATTATAAAATTTAAGTTGTCAATGGGTTTACTGACTTTTTTAAAGTATAATTATCTTCTTGATTTTAAGGTAACAGGTTTACTCCCTTTTTAAAAGTACAACTAATCACTTTTTACAGTGCAGGAGGATTTACATATCTATGCGTGGCCCATTAGACCAGCTCGTCAGTCATTAACGCTGCCATCCAGAGTGCCAGCGGTGGCTATAGTTGGTTTACAGCTATAGTGGTCTTCATAACAGTCTCGTAGGATGGCGGCGGCTCCATCTGCCAGGGCGGAGGGGTGGCAGGTTGGCTCTGTGGACTGGCATCTGAGGCGGGAGGCATCTGGACTGTACTGTGATCCTCTGCCGTAGCTCTTCGAATCCGATCCAGCCTCCTGGGGGAAAGAGAAGAGCAGTGACTCAGGAATACATGGATAACATAATATTGGAAGTTGATTAAAAATAACTGTTATCTAATATTGATTCTCATTTTGAGGAATCACTATGAATTTTGGTATTTATTTGGGGGGATATTATCTTTGATATACTGTGTAATACAGCAGTTGGGGAATGTCAAATATCTGCAAAGTTAGCCCTGTGTATTCAAAACCCATGTGTTTGCTCATGTTCAGCGGATGTATAGCTTTCTTTAGTTCCGATTAATTAGAATGATCTTGTGCTTCACTTCAGAGTTCACCACAGCCATGTAAAACGTATAATGAAAGCAAAACTAAAGAATGCGCCATTAAAATTCTCATACTATTCTGGCATAATAATCAAGAAACTTTGCTGCAATACCATGCCTGCAGCAGGAACAATAATTTTACACAGCAACTGAAAAAAGTCTCCCCAAACTTGCAACATCAGTAATATGTCTGCAACAGTGATGGTACAGCAGCAAAGTCCCTTGAGTTCCTAGTTATATGCTAGAGTATAGTTCCTAGCCATATCAACCTAGAAAATAGCAACTTTTAATTTTCAGTTGATCTTAGTACACAATGTAACTAGAAGAGTCAAGCTTTAAATAGAAAACTTATCAACACTCCTTAAAACATTTTTAGTGAGATGGTAATGGTCTAATCCGATCCAGTGATCTATGCTAAGCTAAGCTAAAAGTGCTCCTGCCAGAACCTGAGATTGCCTGAATGGATTTAAAATGGTAAAACTCACTAGTTAAACTAGAACAGAAAAAGTAAAAAGTAGCCTTTTTTAAGGTGGAGTGTTTCTTTAACTGCAGAAAAGGCAACGTCATGCAAAAATATATGAACTGTCGGAAAAGAATTACTTATTTTCTTATCAGGTTAATAACAATAACACAAAAAATAAATTTTTTTTGGCTGATACTATTATGACAACCAATATGTCTTGCATCATATTTTATGACAGCAGAAATTATCCATTATTTCTTGGCCGACAAACTATTACTTAGTTCTGTTCAATTCATTATTTTGTGGTGCGTTTCCCAAAATCATCATTAGCCAACTAAGGTCACAAGTTCTGTCATTGCAAACATAGTTTGTTGATTTGCTGTTTCCCTAATCCGCCGCTCCAACAATCATTCGCAAACTGCTTCGCAAACTTGAGCACTCGCAACTACACCTCTAGAGCTGTAGTTAGAAACATTGTTCCTGGCTGTGTTCTATTCCCACTTATTCCCCCTATGCCCAATTCATTTACAACATTCTAATATTCAGAGTTGGAATTATTAAAAATAAAAACGCATTAAGGTCATCTCTCTTAGGTGTTATTTGCTTTAAAACTATTTTTACAGTTCAGTTTTAGCAATCTTCATGTTAACAATTGTGCTCCCTTCGCAGAGCACTTTGAAAACATTGATGTCATTTTGAACACAGTCTCATGGCTAAAGCTACAGGTGACCTATTACTTAAAATCGTAATTTATGTTACGTCTCCAAAGCTTGTTAAAACGAAAAGCATACGTTTTTATTTTAATTCATAGTGGGTTATTTATTTATTAAGTTTCTGTACTGTATATGACATGGATCTGCTGGTTAGAACTTTCTGCAGTGGTTTACATGTGTCAAGTTGTAAAAGTAGACTTTTTAAAAATAATAATAAATAAACAATGAAAAACAAACAATAAAAATAAACAAAGAAATTATTCTTTAAAGAAGTAGTTACTCCACCCAGTTTAGAGCATCATTATGGGCGTTTTACGTTATAATGAACATGGTTCAAGTGATGGATCTGCGACCGAGAAACTACGGGTTTTGGGAAACACTCGTCACTACATCGTTCTTTCCCCAAACGATCCATCGTACTACGATAGTTCAGCCGCGAGTTACATCGATGTGTGGAAAACGCACCCCTGGTCAATAAGAACAATAACCATTATAACTAAACACTAAAATAACCATTTATTTTAATTATACGATGAATTATACGATAATCTGTCATGGTTGTATAGTATCATGCATCACTAGAATATTAGAACAGCAGAAAGTATTTATAATTTATTGGCAGATGATGTATTGTCTTGTCTGGCCAATATCGATAACACTAAAAATAACCATTTAACAGCCGGTATATACCGATATGGACACTGATACGTAATAAGTATAAATTGAATTAAGATTGTGGTGGCACAGTGGCTCAGTGGTTAGCACTGTTGCCTCACAGCAAAAAGGTCGCTGGTTTGAATCTCGGCTAGGTCAGTTGGCATTTCTGTGTAGAGTTTGCATGTTCTCCCTGTATTTGCGTGGGTTTCCTCCGGGTGCTCAGGTTTGCCCCACAAACCAAAGACATGCGCTATAAGTAAAATGGATAGACAAAGGTGTATAAGTGTGAATGTGGGAGTGTATGGGTGTTTTCCTGTACTGGGTTGTGGCTGTAAGGCATCCGCAGCGTAAAGCATATAGTTGTTATAAATAAAACAAATAGATTTGGTTCATTCCGCTGTGGCAATCTCTGATAAATAAGGGACTGAGCTGAAGAAAAATGAATGAATGTATCTGGGTTTTAACTGAATTAGTTTGTGTGTTGTCCTTTAAGGAGTTTCAAATATATGCTTTTAATATATATTTGTATTTGCTGATATAGTAAAAATATGAAGTTCATAGTTCATTTATTAATTTTCTTTTCAGCTTAGCCACTTTATTATTCCGGGGTCACCACAGCGGAATGAACCGCCAACTTATATAACATGTTTTTACACAGCGGATGCCCTTCCAGCCACAACCCATCTCTGAGAAACATCCACGCACACTCATTCACACTCATACACTACGGACAATTTAGCCTACCCAATTCAAGTTCATAATTTATTTTCCTTAATTTGTAAAATTTTACATTTTTGTTTCATGTCAGAAACTACTTTCTGTTTAGTCACTTCCTGTTAGGGCTCCAGGCTCTGTATGAAAACACTGACAGGACATGTGCTCTCTCTGTTAATCTTTCGCATCCGCTAAAAAGCATCATGGAGGCAATGCCATAAGTAGTGGTGGGCAAAGCGAGGCTTCATGAAACACTGAAACGGTCAAAGCAAATGTGTCGAAGCTTCGAAACGTTTCGGAAACCCCACTCTAGTTTCACACCTAGTGGTAATTTTTATGTATTGCACTGGAACAGCATCAGCCAAGAACAGTTGAGCAGATTGAGGTATAAAACCCCACTTTGTAGATTTGAACATTCAAGTGATTTAGTGGAGCGGTGAGGGTTCCTGACTACCATGCAGGGATAGTGGGTTCGAGTCCAGGCTGATAAAGCTATTTTGAATAATTATCATCAGTTTGAAATGCACTGTTCTTGTATATTCTTGTATATTTCGTTTCAACACTGGTCTGACATCCGGATAAACACTTTGTGAATAAATATGACTTGTTTTGGTCATAAAACAGGGTTGTTGCTAGACCAGAGATGGTTGTGGCCAGAAGTTAACAAGAATTATTTATATTATTCATTAAATTTCCCATGGCGAAGCAGTACACAAAATACACAAATCAATACACAAATCATGAATTCAAAGTATATGAACAAGTCGAGATTCGAACTCAAAGGTCATTTAGAAGCACAGTAACAACACGCTCACTCACAGTCCACTAGGCCATATGAGACAAGTTTACTCTGACCCTGTCAGTCGAGTGCAGACTCGCCAGGTCTTGAAACACTTCTGAACTGATCGATGATTTGAATCGCTTTAGTCACGTGACCAGGTGTTTCAAAACACTTTAGTCACGTGACCTGGGTGTTTCGGATCATGCTTCGATGCAGTGTTTTGAAACACTTGGGCTTCAGGATCTGGACACTGTGTCGAAACGCCAGTTTCACGTCAGCCATCCCTAGCCGTAAGTTCATTTAACATCAGAAATGTTAAAGATAATATCTTTGTGAAAACAAAAAATGGTTGTTTAATATTGTTACCTCTACTATGAGGAGAACTGTAGTTTATGTTATGGTCTAGTTTTCGTCTCGTTTTTTTTTTTTTTTTTGCCTGCGTCTGCTCAGTGCAACCTTACTGGAAAATAATAATAATAATAACGCAACTAAACAAAATAACATTATAACAAATAATTTTGTCTTGTTTTACTCAACGAAAATCAAGAGACATTTTAGCATAGTTTTTTATTTTGTAAACCACATTTAGTTTCGTTTTTCTCCATCAACAATATTGTATTATAAGTTTAGTGAGGTGTCAGATTCAATGTCAAGCAAATCTATGCCCTTGGGCCTAGCAACAACATAGTTTGAGATTGTGGCTTATTATTTTCTTTTCGGCTTTATCCCTTTATTAATCAGGGGACCCGCAAAATTATCCAGCAAATGTTTTACGCAGTGGATGCCCTTCCAGTGGTTGTGGCTTAATGTACTTTATTATCAGAAGAACAGAATTTGTTTTCTATTAAAAAAGTGAATCTAACTTTAAGTTCAAACCAAAGATTTTGAGTATTTACTATTTTTCCTTTAAACTACTGTAGTTTAGTTGCCAAAAGGACGCAGGGAGGGGAGAAGGGGAACCCCTAGGCACTTATTTGATGGCTTCAGCATGTTAAAAGAAACAAAAATCTCGTCTCTCTTCCTCCCAATTCCTCCCTCCCTCACTTTTCTGGGCTCATGTACAAACGCTGACTGCTTTCTGTTAACATTAGCACTGTGGTCAAAATGAACCGCTCTGCTCTCTTGGATTCTTTGATTTCTTCTACCACAACGACATTCTCCAAACAACAAGCCCATAAATAGGTTTAAACACAAACTAAGATCATTATGAAGTGCCATCGCCTTAGTAGTATTTAAATGGCGATGTGCCCTTTCGTTCTTTCTCTCTCTCTTTCTCTCTCTTTTCTTTCAGACAAGGAAGACAGAAAGAATTTGGCGGCCAGCAGCTGTTCAGTCTTTGCTTGCTATATAAACATTACCTCAACGTAACATTTTCTCTCAGT